AGAGAGAGAGAGAGAGAGAGAGAGAGAGAGAGGGAGGGAGAGAGAGGCTCCTTCTATTCAATTATTGCCTAGACTTTTCTCTCCAGAAGGATAGAAATGAGTTAATAAATGTCGAGAAACCTTAGAGGGAAAAGTACTCCAGTATTCTCCTCAGTATCACATCTCCTCTACTATCACATCCAATTTCAACAACGAATTTTCAGTCCTAGGGTTCCCTTACCATCTCAGCCTCATTAGCTAGCTTCAGTGAATACAATCCCATTTAAACCACAAATACTCAGGGCATGTATTTCCTGACTGCTGGCTCCAACTATACGGTGTTGCAATAGTTTGTACTGAGGCGGCCATCATCGCTTAAATTGAAACGAAACAAAACAAAACAACCTAGTAGAGAAGCTACTAATATGCAGTGCTCAGTACAGAGCTCCCCGCTACCCGCCCCAGGTCCCTGACTCTAGCAAAGTCCATAATGCCACACCCTTCCCATAAATACTCCACCCCTCCTAGTCTGTGGTGCCGGGGCTGGCGAGATGAAGGCTGAGAGGGAACTAGGTTAACACGGGGTGAGTTTTTTGAGGAGAGCAGCCAAATCTTGGAGAGGTTCCTTTTCTTCTCATCCAGCACAGTGACCCTCTCCCATCTCTCCGGAGTGGAATCCCTTTGAGCTTACTTAGGCTCTAGAAGGAGTAGACTTTCTGGGATTTAGACTTTCTGGGATTGGGTTGTTTCTTTCTCTTTCTCTCTAACCAAGTTCCTTTCTCCCCATTTCCTATTTCCACTTTTTAAAAAAGGGAGCTGGGAAGAAGGCTCTGGGCCACTGTGCTGTCCACCATCGTGAGAACCCCAACACAATGGTGAGTTAGTTACTTGTGAAGTGGGTCTTAAGGGGCAAGGAAAGCTAAAGGGGGAGAGAGAGAGAGAGAGAGGGAGGGAGGGAGGGGGAGGAGGATGGGAGGGGGAGGAGGATGGGAGGGAGAGAGGGAGGGGGAGAGAGAGAGGGGAAGGAAGGAGGGATGGAGAGAGGGGGGGAGGATGGGAGGGAGAGAGGGAGGGGGAGAGAGAGAGGGGAAAGGAAGGAGGGAGGGGGAGAGAAGGAGAGAGTAGTGGGAGACAAGTGGAAAAAGAGACAGGAAGGGACTTTTGATGTTGTTCTTCATTGTGCATATTGCTATTACCTTTCAAGGGTGGGGAACCTGCAGCCTTGAGGTTACATGTGGCCCTCTAGATCCTCAAGTACAGCCATTTGACTGAATCTAAACTTCACAGAACAAATTCCGTTAATAAAAGGATTTGTTCAGTAAAACTTGGATTCAGTTCGAAAGGCTGCACCCAAGGACCTAGAAGGCCACATGTGGCATCGAGGCTGAAGGTTCCCCACCCCTGAATTCTGGCGTTTGAGTGAATGAAGCTTCTTGATACTAGAAGGAGATAATCACTTCTCTGGATGTGGTCAGTAATGAAAAGGGAGTAATAGGATTGGTTGTTTCTTTTTTTTGAAAAATAATTTTTATTGATGTTTTCTATTTCTTACATGACCATAATATTCCATGTATGGTCCCCTCTTTACATCTCCCTAAGAGCTATCCCATAAAACAAATAGTGGTTTGTTTGGTTTTTAGAGAGGGGAAAAAAAAACAGCAGAACTGGTCGATAGATTGAGAAAGCCTCAAAACATGTGCAGTGCGTAACCTCTGTGGACCTCCCACTGCCACCAAGTTGTAGGTTGGGGGTGTCTTCTCATATCTCTTCATTTGAGTCCCACTTAATCTTTATGATTTTGTTATATTTACTTTTGATTCTTTGGTGAGTCGTTGTTTTTTCCATCCATGTCTTTTGGAAATCAAATTCCTCATTCTTGAATTTTCTAAACTCACATAGTTTATTACTGTTTCTCAATTGTGGACCATCAGTATATCTTATGCTGACCTCCCCCTCGTATGCAGTTCATTGCCTGAATATTACAAAATAAGACAAATTTCTCCCTGCTCCCAAAGTGAAGTAAATCACAATATAAGGAAAAAAAGGTCACATATGAGCGTCAGGGACTAGGTTCCCCTCTGGAGGAAATTTCCGAGCAAGTGTCATGGTCATGGTCATACTTTGGGTTTTCTTCAGTCTTATCGGATATGGAGTCAATATTTGGAATATTTTCATTCTTGGAGTAGAGACCAATGGAAAATATAGGCCAGAGGGGCTCTAAAAAGGACCTGGTGAATATATAGATGTAGCATCTACTGACTCTATATCATAAAACACTATGTCTCCCTCTCATAATCCAAAAAGATCTGTACTTTGTACAGTTTTACACTTCAGGGAATTCTGGTCCTAGGCATGGTACAGACTATCTACTTATTTTGTTCAGACTCAAAAGCCCGTATCCAATAGAAAAAGATGATGAAATCTCTCTGATTTTATTTACAGAGTTCTTACAAAACCAACATCCCAAGCAGAACTTTTTGCCACTGGCACCTCCCAAAACTGTCTTCCCATCATGAAGCTCTGAGTTGCTAGAACAGGACCACATAGATCAGATCTCTCTATAGTACAATGCAATTTCATCCGTGACACTCTTTCTCTCATTGTTTTCATATCTGTGGATAAGATAATTCCCGGATGGGCAGTTTCAGGATCCAGACCAATTTCCTCATGGAATTTGTTCTTGATTATTTTTCTCTGATTCAGGCTCCTCCTCAAGTGAGGCTGGAGCAATTTGAAGGACTGTGCTACTATGCACAGTTGGTGATTGGACCAGAGATTCTTCACAACAGAAATTTTCTGGCACTCAGAACATTTAAAACAAGTTGCATGAATGTACTGGAGGATACAATCTTTGAAGAAATTGTGACCACATTCTATAGATGTGGCACATGTGAAGAAATCTAGGCAGATAGAGCGGGTCACCTCTTCTGAAATACTTGAAATAAGATGTGAAGCCATGATTCTTTCTGATGCCTCTGATTTGGGTCTTTCCCTGTGTGGTTGTTTCCTTTCTTATGGGATTTAGCTTTCCAACACCTATCATTTCCTATAAAACATCTTTAGGTGACTAAATAGAAGGGAGAATGATGCCAGGTGACCAAGGATCTGAAATTCTTGTAGAAGAGAGAACAGAGTCTCCAAGGACACCATGTTGGAAGGTTGTAATCAACTGACAAAGTGTCATGAGAAGTCATGCGGCATAATGGAAGGTAGAGGCATTTACTGTATATGTGACCATGGTCAACTCATAACTTCTTTCAGCTTCAGTTTTCTCTTCTGTAAAATGAGTTTAATGACAGAGTTCTGAGCATCCAATGAAATCATTTTTCTAAGTTGTTTTTTCATTGAGCTTTAAAACACTATAGAAAAAGCCATCTAATATTGTATTTATTGAATACCGCCTCAGTACCTTGCTAAGAAACAAAAGCATAAGGAATATTTCCTGGCAATAAGAAGTTCAAAGTCTAGTTGTGTGAGGGATTGTCTGATGTTGGCTGCGTGCCATGTGGGGGTTGTGGCAAGATGGGGCAGGTGTGAGGGATTGTCTGATGTTGGCTACGTGCCATGTCGGGGTTGAGGCAAGATGGGACAGGTGTGAGGGAGTGTCTGATGTTGGCTGTGCCACGTGGGGGTGGGACGGCAAGGAGGAGGGGCTAGGAAGGTATATAAGGGGAGTAGGGATCAGAGCTCTTTGGCTGGTCGGGCTGGTCGGGTCGGGCTCCTGTTCTCTTGCTTTCCTGCTTGGTTTGCTGTGATGGTTTCCGAGTAAAGTTCGAGTGTTTGCACCTCCTGATCGGCTCGTCTCTAAGTTTATCCGGGTGGGCTCTGAAGACTGGTATGTGTGACCCTGGCAGCCTGGGGTGCACGGCGCGGCCGGCACATAGTTGGGTCCCCATCAGAGGTACAAATTGATATGCTGATCCCTATGAGATGAAGAATCACCATTCTGTGTGCCCGGTCTAGCTAGAGTGGCCAGTAGACTGCAGATGCTTTTGTGGCATTCGGAGTTGATCATTAGAATGACCAGTTAGGCTGGTACTGTCTTCTGCCGCCCCCCCCCCACTTCACACCTCTTGCAGTGCTTAACTGTTCTTCTATCCTGTGTCCACACTTCCTTTTCAGAAATCTTTCTGTCATGAAATCAGTACACATTAGCCTCATTCATGGTCTTGAATGGGGTCTTGATCTCAGTATGTGACTTAAAGTATTAACCCTCTCAGAGAGGTCTGCATTTTTATTGATTTTTAAAAGTATTTTTGGCTGTTTCTAGGTCTATTTTTGGCTGTTTTGGCATGCTTTACACTGTGGAAGAGACCGAGCAAGATGCTGTAGTAAAAGAGCTTGAAGTCAGCCAACCTGAATCCAAGTCTTGACTTTCCTGCTCACAAGCTGTGTGACCATAGACAAGTCACTTTGCCTCAGCTGCTCTTTTCTTATATGAAACATGATGGGGTTCAACCAGATTATCAGTTCTTAATTAATATTTGCCTAGTGGCTTAAGGTTTGCAAAGCAGTTTTACATATATCTGCTTGTTTAAACCCTATCTCCCGCCTTGATGACTTTCCTTAGACACTCTCATGTGCCAGGAATGCATTTCCTCCTAACCTCTCCTAATCTCTCTTCCTTTAAGATGTTCTTCAAACACCACCTTCTGCAGGAAGCCTTTCTTGATTTGAATGACTTCTAGCGCCTTCTCTCCCAAACTGCCTTGTAAACTGCCCTGTCTTTATTTGTATGTTTTCTCTTTATATGTAGTCTGTACATACTTAAGTAGCATATACCACCATTTCACTGCTCTCCCAGGGTTCTCCACTACCCTTAAGGGTATTGGGGATGTCTAGGCTTTCTGCAGACAGCTCCAGCCCCCACCAATGTTGTGCCCTCAATTGTAGGGGGGTGGTCCCCTGCACTCCAGTTCCATTTAGCCACTGCTAGATGAATTAGATTTGACAAAGAAATATTTAGTTCAAAGGCGAACAGCTTACCTTGGTTCCTTCCTTTAGAGAACAGTCCTGGTTCCAAGTCCAAACCCCTTCCCCCCACCCCAGACTTGATTCCCAGGCCTCCTGGCTTCTCTGGTCATCCTGGCCAGGTTAGCAGGCTGCAATGTCCCACCTGGAACCCTGAATCCAAGGTTGCCATGGCTTCAACTCCTGGGGCCAGTGTGGATCACCACTGGCACCTGAAACTAGGAAGGACAAACAACATAGAATACAAACGAACATCCCCAGGTCCATTTCTCAGAGCCTGCATTAAAGAGAGGGAGCTGGTGAGAGAAAGTTCTGCCCTTCTTACCAGGTCAGTTCGTGGAGTTTTCATTGTGGTAAACTAGAATATTCACCCTCTGGACAGAGGAGATATAAGACTGGCAGAAAAGAAAACAGTGGAAAGACAGTGAATGGTCCAGTCTTTTTTTTTTTTTTTTACTAATTAATTTTTAACATTCATTTTAAAAAATTGAGGGGAGATTTCCAAATTCTTTCCCTCACTCTCTTCTTCCCAAGCAATATATTAATTATACATATGAAATCATGCAAAACATATTTTCATATTAGCCATGTTGCAAAGAAAAAGTAAAGTGAAATAGTATGCTTTGATCTATACTCCCTCCCTCCATTTTAAAGATAAAAAAAAACCTCATTTGCCTCATAATATTGCACAGCTATTAAGTGTTTGAGGTGGAATTCAAGCCCAGGTCTAATGGTCTATTCAAGATTCCATGCTGTAGATCTCTAGCTCTAAAGTTCTGTCATTTTCTGCCATTCTGAGTAGGGATACTAATAGTTGCACACCTTGCTTCACACAGACCAGTTGTGGGGCACAAATGAAATCATGTATCTGAAAGTCCTTTGTACACCAAAAATCACCGAAACAATGGAAACTAGTAAGACAGTCGGCCATCAAGGAACCTATATTTTAGGAAGGGAGACAAGACATGTATGTAAATAACTGTAATATAAGGTAGGATGTAATCAGTGCCATGAGAAAAGAACCACAAAGTTCTACAGGCTCTGAGAGAAAGGAGAGATTACTTGTGGTTGGGCTTAGGAGCAAGAAACAGAGGTAATGAATAAGTTCAACATGGACCTTGAAGAATGAGTAGGACTTAGACAGATATGGAGTGGGGCAGGGAAGTAGGAAGGATGCTTCAGTCAGAGGGAACAGCATTAGCAAAGACACAGAAGTGGAAAAAAACCAACAACCCAGAACTGCATGATCTCCAAGTTGGAAGGGACCCCAGAGGCCATCTAACTCAATCTTTGCTGGGGCCTGACCTTTTCCCTACACTATCAGCAAATCTCACAGGGATTTGGGAACTTTGGGAGGAAAGGGTCTGTTCCATATTAGGATATATAAGAGAGAAAGAGGAAAGCAGAGCATAGTCAGACATGTATCCTAGATTTGGGAAGAGTAAGTTTTAAAGCAGTTCAGAGAAAAAGATAGTATGCTCTCCTGGTTGAAAATTCCATGGCATTTGTCAGGCCTTAAGGGATGGGAAGTTCTCAAGAATGAAATTATGAAAACATAAAAAGAGAAGGAATTCCATGGGAGAGGAAAAGGGGGAAGTAGTCAAAAGAGAATGATGTAGATGGACTGGAAACTCCTTAATTTAGAGATGTACAGAATTATTAAGAGATTAGTAAGAGATGTACAGAATATTGAGAAAAGTATGGTGTAGTAATAGTGGCAGCAGCCACCATTGTTATAATAATAATAATGATAATCATAAAAAACTAGCATTCATATAGTACTTTAAGGTTTGCAAAACATTCTACAGATATTATCTCATTTTATCCTCACAGAAACCCTGGGAGGTAGACGTTACTGTTATTTATTTTACAGTTGAAGAAACTAGGGAAGACTGAGGTTAATTGATTTGTCCAGGTCTTCCTGATGTCAGGCTCAGTGCTCTATCCGCTGTACCACCTACCTCCTTGAGAAGGTCAGAGTGGGTAGAGGATGAAAGGGGGCTTATTGGAGTATAATGACAGTAAGCAACTTAAGCCAGCGGTTAAGAGTGGAGCTGGGCTGCCAGCTGAGCATTAAGTTCCGAGGTTAAGCCAGGACCTATAGTTGCCAGGATGATCTGGGGGAATTGTAAAGAGGCCAGAGGAGCCACAAGACTGAAAGCTGAGAAATGGTGTTATAGACTTAGGGAATATGTGCATAAGGAAGAGCACAGGCCCCAGGGAGATGGAGGAGGGCAGTTGATAGGCATCCAGCCCCAGAAACCATGAGAAGAAAAAATGAGCCTGGGATTGGACTAGTTGGTGCTGTGAGTTTACTAGAACTATGAATAAACCTGGGAGGTGGGGAGGGAGGGAGGGAAGAGAGGGATGGGAAGCTCACTATAAGTGGGATAACTCTTGCTTTGCTAAAGGAACTAAAATTCTAGTCCTTTCCCTGTTCTTTACATGGCGATAATGAATCTGTTGTATATTTAATGCCTGTGATGCTTGATGCTTACGGGGGAGGAGAAGCACCTTAGCGGAAAACTAAAAATCAGTCAAATTCAAATGTTCCTATCACCTAAGCCATCATTTTGTTATTAATGAGAAGCTTCCAAGATTGAACTTGGGCCATTTGAGTCCAGAGTTGTGATTCTGTACCTTGGCAGCTAAGAAGCAAAATGAATAGAGTGCTGGGCCTAGAGTCAGGAAGACTCATATTCCAGAATTCAAATCTGGCCCCAGGCACTTACTAGCTGTAAGTGGGCAAGTCGCTTAACCCTGTTTGCTTCAGTTCGCCATCTGTAAAATGAGCTGGAGAAGGAAATGACAAACTGCTCCAGTATCTCTGCCAAGAAAACCCCAAATGGAGTCACGAAGAGTTGGATCTGACTGAAAATGGCTGAACAACAACAGCAAAGTCCTAGCTTACGTGTATTACTCCTTTTTATTTCTAGGTTTGTTTTTGTTTTTAAATTAGCATGTTTAAGAGCATTTACATGCTGTAATTGATTTCCTTTATAGTCTTTTAAGTTTTATTTAATGCATTTAAAAACATCGTTCTGAAAAAATGGTCCATAGGTTCTACCAAACTGCCTAAGGGGTCCACAATGCAGAAAAGGTTAAGAATCTTTGGTTTGGAGTTAAGGAGTAGAGAACAGGTGATGATGTTTGGAGGTGTGGATTAAGGGGAAAGAGGAAGCTCAAGATGTGTGGTCTTGATTTTCTTTGTATAGTAGGTCTTCTGCTGAAAGACAGTGGTCTGGGAGTGATGTGGGGGGTATGAAGAGAGAAGATAAAGTTTGGGATAGTCATAGAGAAGAGCTTGAGAGAAACTCAATCAAGAAGGAGTAGTGGAATTTCTCTGTATTAGTGGGAGCCCAGCAGAGATGAGATAACCTGAGTTCATGGTGGACCCAGCTGACATGGTTACATGTCTGCCTCCAGCAGGGCTGAACAACATGTTGGTAAGGGCAGAATGCTACTGCTATCATAGATTTCGTGTCCCATGCCTGGAAGCATTGGATATCTCAGCTTCTGAAGTCTACCTCCCTGACCTAATATTCTCATCCTCCCTAGGGGCCTTGGGTGTCCCATCAAGGCTTACCCTTCCTGAATGGTTCTCCATGCTTCCCCTAGTTGCTCAGAGTCTGTTAGGTCATGCTTTGTTTTCTTCCTTTTCTACCTCCCAACCCAGCTGATTCATGAGTTCAAATCCTACCTCAGATACTTCCTGGTTGTGTGACTCTGAGCAAGTCATTTAACCTCTTTGTGCCTCAGTTTCCTCATCTGTAAAATGAAGGGTGCTTTATGAGACCAAGGCCAAGTAACAAACATTAGGAGCATAATTCACAATATCTTTGACAAATTTGTGCATACATCTACAAGTTAGTCCTGTATGTATTCTGTATTCTCAACATTAGTTTGTGTTTAATTCTATGTTGCTTTGTATATATTCCTTTATCTTTTCTAGTGTTCTCCACACCTGACTGTCCCTGGGGGAAGACATTGCATCTGCTGGTTCTTTTGTATCTCTTATGGTCTAGAACAGGGGTTCTGGACATGATGGGTACTCAAAAAAGTTGGTGACTTTGTTCTTGCAGAATGATATCCTGCCAAGTCCCAGCATGAAAGGCCAAGGCAAGAAGCGGAATGGACAGGCCCAGCATCACAGCCACGGCATAAAAGACATCCCACAGCTTGCCTACAGCATAACAGATGTCCCACCCTGGTACCTCTGCATCTTTCTAGGGATTCAGGTAAGAACATAAGGCTGAAAAAAACCCAAAACCAACCCTGGAATTCAACATTGAAAAAACCTGATCTTTAACTGACATGATTTTTTTTTGGACTTGTTTGACCATTCTAAAAACTTAACTGGTCTGAGAATCTAGACACAGCTACAAACTCAGGCTTGGTCAACACTGGTCTAATATATCGTAGTGTTCTTGAGTAATAAGCAAAGCCATCATTCTGTCTTGCTGTCACAGAAACAATATCTGATTGCCATTTGTTTGCCCTTCCCTGACCATGACAACTTTGGGTGACTTTTGAGAGCTCTGGGAACGTGACTGAAGGTGGAGATGGGGTTGTGGTTGGCACAGTTGCTAGAGGGTTAGGCCTGGAATCGGCAAGACCCAAGTTCATATCCTTTCCTGTCTCAGACACTTCCTAGCTGTCTGGCCCTGGCAAGTCACTTAACCTCTCAGTCTCAATCAACCAAGCAATCAATCAATAAACATTTATTAAACTCCCACCATGTGCCAGGTACTGTGTGCCCCAGTTTCCTCATCTGCAAAAAGGCACTTGCCAACTGGGGCTGTGAGATTCAAATAAGATAACATGAAAAGCACTTTGCTAACCTTAAAGTGCTAAAGATGATGATGATGATGATGATGATGATGATGATGATGATGGCTAAATGGAGCACAAAGTGGCTTGGCAACAGAGTGGAAGGAGGGATCGCCATACCTGAGCCTGCTTTCTGAAGTGGTTCAATTTCCATGTGGTGCTTGTGAGGCTAGGATTGAGGACTGAATGTCTATATGGACCAATTAGCTTTGCTCAGGAAAAACAAATGATGGCCCAGAGTGCTCCCTGAATTCTAGCTGACCAGCAAGTCAGCAGATGCTAGCTGAAGGTCTTTAGTCAATTGAGGTTTCTCAATTTGACTCACTGCCATCACTAGGAAAACAGTGCCAAGTGGATGTTCCTCTGATATGGTTTTTAGAATCTTCTTTTTTTTTTTTGTATATGAAGGAAGTAAGGGAGGAGACAAGCATTCATTAAGCCCCTACAGTGCCAGATGCTGTTCTTATATTACCTCATTTTACCTTTATCTTCATAATAATCCTGGAAGGCAGGTTCTATTATTATCTCCATTTTACATTTGAGGAAATTGAGGCAAACTGAGTCAAAGTAACTTGCCTAGGGTCACATAACTAATAAGTATCTGAGGCTGGATTTGAACTCAGGTCTTCCTGACTGCAGGCCCAGCTCTCTCTATCTACCTCTACCTAGCTAGAGATCCCAGGTGAGGAAATCCTCCAGGAGGTAAAAGTCCCTCAGTCTGCATTCCCACATTGGAATCCATTGTAATCATTTCTCAATGCTGGGAAATGAGGGCAGATCACAGCAAACAGCTGGAAAGGTTCCAGGTAGACAGTGGTCAGCATTGGGAAATGTGGTGATGGGAAGAAATAGGTTGACCTGTTAGTCTCCAGGTTCTGGCCATCCCTGACTTCATCGATCCTTGTTATTGATTGGTGGGGTCTAACTCTACATGACCCCATGGATCACATTGTATGTGGAGTTTTCTTGGCAAAGATGCTGGAGTGGTTTGCCATTTCCTTCTCCAGAGGATTAAGGCAACTAGAGATTAGGTGACTTGCCCAGGGACACACAGCTAGTAAGTATCTGAGGCTGGATTTGAACTCAGGTCTTCCTGACTCCAGGCCCAGTGCTCTATCCACTGAGCCACCTAGCTGCCTCTTGTCCTATCCTACCCACCAACTAAACCTTGGTTTTGACAGCACCTATTATGTCCACGGGAAGGGAGTAGTACTAGGTTGTTCATCATTCTCTTCTCTCTTCCTGCAGCATTATCTCACAGCCCTGGGTGGCCTTGTGGCTGTGCCTCTCATCCTGTCCAAGGGCCTGTGCCTGCAGCATGACCCCGTGACCCAGAGCTACCTTATCAGCACCATGTTCTTTGTCTCTGGCATCTGCACTCTCCTTCAGGTCCTTTTAGGGGTCAGGTAGGCCAACACTTCCCTACAAGAGCCCACAGGCCTGCCTTCATCCCCGGGGGCAGGCACAGGGTATGTACGCTTGGCTCGGGCACTCAGGAGAACAGTAAAATGAGTTCTTCCTACCAAAGCCCTCTGCAAGACTGTGAGGTGGAACATTAGCTCCTTGAAGGCAGGCATTGTCTCACTTTTCATGTTTGCATTTTTAGTACCTGGCACATAATAGGTACTTAATAAATGGTCATTGATTGATTTTGTGCCTTTCCACATCCTCTATGTTCCTACTGTTGAGACATCTCCCTTCCCAGGGCTTCAGGGACCCCAAGCTTCCCAGAGCTTCATCACAACCCATTCCTAGAACCAGAAAAAGGCAAAATGCTGCTTCAATTGGTCTTCCTCTTACACATCTTCCCATGCCCAGTGTGAGTTGCTAACCCCTCCCCCCCATACTCTACTTTGAGGATAGGACCTGGGAGCAAATTCAACTGATAGAACTCAGGTAAGCAGTATTAATCAATGGATAAACCATCATTTATTAAGTATCCACTATTTACTGATGATAGAAATATACAGAATGAAACAATCCCTAGACCCGGTCCCATTTCATGTAACTAGCACTATTGCTCATGCCCATCCTGGAATACAATGTTTAGAGGTGCTAAAGTGACCAAATGAGGACTCCAGACCAAAACTAGTACCCTTGGACACCTCCTCCTCAGCCCCTAAACATACTACGGTGACAACTCAGAGGGAGAAGGCAAAAGGGGAAGAAGGTTATATCCTCTGGCTTCTCTCTCTCCTTAGCAGTCATTCTGCCCTCAATTTTCAGTCTCTCCTCTGACTGCATCCTTCTGGGATACTCCCCCAGCTAAACCTCCAGGATAAGTTGCATCCCTGAAAGGTGACTGCTATTCCCTAGCTATTACTACCAAGTTCTAGTGTATGGGATCCCATATTATTAAAACTATCACCCACAAACCCCCACTAGTGTGCTTACCTTTAATTATCAGTAAACAGCAAGCATAAGACATCCTCCCCATCCACATCCCTGTCCCCCAAATCTAGGGTGCTCCCTACTACAAATATAGGCAGTATCAGTGGGAAAAGCAGGTACATGTGTAGAGTATATGGGTAATGAGGCACACACTTTTTTTCTTTTTTTTCTTCTTTTTTTGAGGCACACACATTAGGAATAGATGTGGCTAAGGCAACTGAACCCTTGATACAGTAGGAGTAGGCGTAATTTCCACTTTGCATGATGTCCTTGCCCTTCTCTCCCCTGGGTACAGCATTGTACCAGGCAGATTGCTCCACTGCTAGTCTGAGCTTTCTCCTCAATGGGAAGCTTTAGTCTTCACCACCTCAAGCTTCAGACTCAGTTGCAGTCTTCAGTTGGGCTACTGCTATGTGCTTTTAGAAAGTGTAGACACCCTTGCCCTAAGACTGGCAGAAACTTCTTAGTTCTACCCTCTTTAGGGTCTACTGCCTCTAAGGCAGTAGGAAGAGAGAGCAAGGTTATCCTGACAAGCTAATGCTCTGAGGTTTAACCTTTCCTTTTAGTCATTCTTCCCAGGACAATCCTGGGTGGTCCCTCAGTAAGAGAAGTCACTCTAACATATGGCGATTACTCCATACATTTCCCAAATCTTCGTCTCTGCAGGCCATAACCAGGCAATGGTCATTTGCCTAATCATCAAGCAGCTTTGGAGTTCAGGGTTCCCCAGTTTTTTAAATTGTTAAGTTTCTCTTTTTGGGAAATACAGGTGGGTGGGGTGGAGTTGGGGGGGGGAGGGAAGGTTCAGAGGCAATCTATACCCTGGGGTCAATTTCATTGACTACTAGCTACTCAGCTGCTCTCTTGGTCTTCCTCTATAAAGATGAGCTGCTCAAAAGCTCATATCCTTTATAAATTGCAAATGAGCCAGCTCAAAGTTTTATATTATTTACTAGGTAAAAAACAACCCATTCAAATAAAAAAAGGCCACTCTCTTATATCAACAAACATTTATTAAGGGCCAACTATGTACCTAGCACTGTGCTCAGTATTAGAGATCCAGTGAAGATATGAACCAGTTCCCTTCTTCAAGGAACTTATATTTTATTGGGAGGCGGGCCAGGGGAGGAACACAATAGTTTGGTACAAGGGGAAAAGCATTGGAGCTGGGTTCAAATCCTGGCTTTACTATTTACTACCTGTATAACTTAGGGTAAGTCACTCCCCCTCAATTTACCTCAGTTTCCTTACTTGTTAAATGAGGGAGTTGGAGCAGATGACATGGAAGGCCCCTTCTAATTTGAAGGCTATAATCCTAAATACACAGGTTAAAAAAATACAAGTTATTTTGAGAAGGAAGAGAACGTCAACAAAGTGCTTAGCTCAGTATCTGGTGCATACTAGGCCCCTAATAAATGCTGGTTGACTTAAAAGTAGGAAGGTTTAAGGGGACTTTCTAGAAGAGATGGCACTTGAGTTGAGTCTTGAAGCAAGATAAGGATTCAGAGAAGTGGAGGTGAAGAGAGAGTGTATTCTAAGCATGGGAGACTGCTTCCATGAAGATATAGAAATGGAAGAGGGAAATGCTGACAGTAGCTCACTTTGGTTGGAATGTGAAGTGTGAGAAGGGGCATGACCTTCAATAAGCCTATAGAAGCAGGTTGGAGCCAAACTGTGGAAGGCCTTAAATGGTAGGCCAAAGAATTCAGACTTTCTCCTAGAAGCAGTTAGTAGCCACTGAAGACTTCTGAGCAAGGCAATCTTCTCACAGAAGCCCAGATCTCGGGATTGGAAGGGATGTCAGAGGTCATCTCAGCATCTTCAGCCTGGTTCTGATTCCCTCTACACCTCATTGCCTTTCCATTTTTGGATAGCTCTAGTCGTAAGGATGTTGTCCTTCGTATTGTGCCTACAGTTTTTGCCTGTTGCTTCCAGTTTTGTCCCTTACAAGCCAAGGAGAACAAGTCTAGTCTCTTTTTCCATAGGACAGTCTTTCTAGTGCTTGAAGACAGCTTTCACCTTTCTCCAAATTCTTGTCCTCAGACTAAACATCCCTAGTCTCTTCAAAGGGCTCTTTTTGAATGGCCTCATCATCTTTGTTGCTTCCTTTTGTGTGAATTCCAGCTTGTCAAAGGTTAAAGAAAGCACTCAGAACTCACCCTCATGTTCTAGATGTGATCTGAGAAAGAGAATGTGTCAGTACCCCTGGTATTTGTATGCCTCTTTTCTCCCAAGTTTTTCAGCATACACACTGTCTTTTTACTGTGAATCATTGCTTCCTTATCTTTTTAAAATCTGCCAGTCCTTTGTTCCATCCTTCTAGAATCTCGTGCACAGCTGTCTTTGATGAAAACTAGCTAATCTGTGTGACTGTATTAATGGAGGGAGATAGTCCTCATTCAGCACTCACCCTCCCCTCCCAGATACCAATATATATATTTTAACGCTGGCCTTCTGGAGAATAAAAACATAGAATCTCAGAACTCTGAAATTGTCTAGATCAGACATGTGAAAGTCAACTAGAAACTGATCCCTGCGTTCTACACGTTGACATAGAAAACCACAAATAAACATTACATATGTTCTATTTTTATTTATTTTTGTTAAATATTTCCCAATTACATTTTAATTTTGGGGAGGAGGACTAGAGGACCTATTAACTATGGGTTTGACATGTCTGGTCTAAACCAAAGTCCTGTCTGATGGTTTAGAGGGGACCTCAACAGTAGGGCAGAATAATCCCAGTGTGCCAGGGTCCCACAGCTACTGACTGTGAAGGTCCTCAGCACAGATACTTTGGGTTTTTGGGGGTTTTTTTTGTTTTTTTTTAGGGTAATTTTTATTTATTTTTCTGTTTTCAACATTTACTTCCACAAGATTTTGAGTTCCAAATTTTCACCCCATCTCGCCCCTCCCCCCAACCCAAGATGGCATGCATTCTGAATACCTCTAGTCTGCCTTCCCTTCTATCTCTCCCGCCTCTTCTCTTATCCCCTTCCCCTTCAATTTTCCTGTAGGGCAGGATGGATTTCTGTACCCCATTTCCTGTATTTCTTATTTCCCAGTTACATGTGAAAACATTTTTTTAAACATGTGTTTTTAAAACTTTGGGGTCCAAATTTTCTCCCTTTCTCCCTCCCCACCCACCCTCATTGAGAAGGCAAGCAACTAAATATAGGTTATATATATGTGTAGTTAATGCAAAACACTTCCATAGTAGATATGCTGTGAAAACTAACTCTATTTCCCTTAATCCTATCCCGCCCACCCATTTGTTCTGTTCTTTCTTTTGACCCTGACCCTCCTCAGAAGTACTTGCTTCCAATTACCCCCTTTCCCAATCTGCCCTCCTCTCTATCATCCCCCTACTCCCTTGTCCCCTTCCCTCCCCCCATTTTCCTGTAGGGTAAGACAGAGCTATATACCCAATTGAGTGCAGCACAGATACTTTGAAGAGAATAGGGATGTACTCAAAATGTATCGTCAAGGATGTGTTACTCACTTTGTAACATCTCTTGAATACTGCCCAGTACTTTGATATTCCTTGTCTAAGTAAGACTTAGCTTGCAACATAGCTTGATTTATAAAGTCATTCTAGGAATTGATATGACATAGAACACAGACACGAAAACAGAGGGAAAGTCACCAGGCTCCCCCATGGTTGTACTACTCTGACATGAAGAGGTCTCACTTTATTCTCTTTTTATTCCTCCTTTTGACAGTCCTGCTAACACAGTGTGATAGTCAGTTTATGAACACCAATTTGGACCCAACTCTTTGCTCTAAAGTGCAGCTACTGTGGAAGAGAGGCTTGTGTCCTCGCTAGGGCTGTTGTCTGGCTGTCAGTTGCTGCCTTCCTGCCCCGACAGCTCAATTGTTCTGCCTTTTTGAATGTGCTAACATTGCATTTGGTTGGATTTCCCTCACAAATTTGGGTGCGGATATTCTCTTTAGTTGACTAGACGGAATATGCAGATCATAATGGAAATAGTAGTTTTGTTTTGTTTGGGGTTTT